ATCAAACAAATCTGAAAAAAAAAAATGTTATGGAGAAAAATAAATTAAACAAGATTTTCCTGAGCATTACATCCGAATTCCTTACCAAATTTGAAATAAAAATACAATACAGAAAATAAATACTAATAATAAAAATTAATAAAAATAAAAAGAGAATTAAATTTAGTGAGTGCGCGAGCATGTTTTCGACACTGCCATCTTTGGCAGTTTTTCATTTTTTTTTGGCATAGCTAAATGCCCTGAAAGTTTACAGATGTGTACTTCACATAATACAAAACCCACTTATTTTTTTTTTTTAAATAATAAAATTGTTTAGACCCCGAACTAAAGTGAAAACAAAAAGTAAAAAGTGAAAAAATACGTGGGCGAGCACGTTTTGACACCGCTATCTTTGACGATTCTTAATTCTTATTTGGCTTAGCCAAATGACTTGAAAATTTACAGACATGATCCTCACGTCATAGAGAACTCACAAAAAACATTTCATAAAAAAATAGTTATTTTTAGGCCCCGAAATATTTTTTGGCGGGGGCCGAACGGCGTCGGGTTCGGACCCCGTACGGGACCCCGAACGCCCGTACGTACGGAGGTCTGCCCGGGGACCTCCGTACGTACGGGCTGGTGACCCTGTATATATATATATATATCAAAAATAAAAAACAAATATAAAAAAGTTCGAAAATACAAAATTGATTGTCACACACATATATAAAAAGTTTAAGGGCGGGTATCATCTGGACAACGGTCTGGTTCTGGCCATTTTGTCTCTGGATTTTTCACCCCACCGCCTACTCCCTAGGTATGTAATGCACCAATTTACTAGTTTGTTCTTTTCCCGGGTTGTTTGTTGAGGATTCTCGGCCTCTTATTTTGGTGTGCGTAATCAAATGAGCTGAGTCTGTTGTAAATAAATATATATATATGTATATATACAGGGTTACCTGACCGAACGTTCGGGGGCCCCCGGGCTGGTCCCCGAACATTCGGGCGTTCGGGGTCCCGTTCGGGGGCCGAACACCTCCAGATTCGGTCCCCGCCAAAAACCATTTCGGGGCCTTACAATACGTTTTTTTTTCTGTTTTTATTTTCGTGAGTTCTCTATGACCTAGCCTACATGCCTATAAATTTTGAAGCCATTCTGCTAAGCCAAAAAAACATTAAAAATCGTCAAATATGGG